AGATTGAGGGTCCAGGGCTGAGAGTGGGGACTCTTGCTGTCGGCCACCTGGGGCTGAAAGTAGGGTCCCGGGCCTGAGAGTGGGGGGGTTGGGGTTGACAACAGGGGCTCAGCTTTCAGCCTCCGGGTGGCCAGGGCTCCCACTATCAGCCTTCCGCATGGCGGGGGCTCCCGCTGTCAAAATTATGGTGGAAGCCTAATATTGCGGAATTCACAATTTCCACAATATTACAAGTTAAGTTGAGCCTCAACAATGTATTAACTGATCCTTGAAAGTCAGGTATCAGGAAGAACCAACATTTGGCTGTGCCAACAAAGCAATTCCATTATAAAAGTCTATTTTAGGGAGTTGTTAGCCTGGTTATAAAAAATTCACTCCTCGTTGAAACTTAATATCAATATAAAGGTCTCAGTTCCAAACCCAATGTATTTAGGAATACAGTGTTGCTACTTGTAAGATACAGTTACAGAATGCAAGCCCACTAATTTAATTTATTTTCATTTTTAATGCTTCTGTATCCCCAAACTGTTTGAACCGATGGGGAAAATCCTCCAGTTTCTAACTATCTAGGTTGCTTCTGAATCCATATCTGAGAAATATGTAAAAAAAAATCAAAATCAAACGCAAGGAGTATTTTAGCAGGACTGACAGCAATACAAAGATACTTCTGCAACAGAAATACAACAGGGAGTGCTCTCTCCACTAGGTCTAGCCTAAGGATTTCCAGAGCTGCACTGTGATATCATTAACAGTGCACAAGAGAATGTTCTGGCATCTTAAGTTGCTGCAAAAGTTGCAAATTTTGTTTAAAACAAAACAGCCATGTTAACTGTAGGTCACTTTTAAAAAATAAGGGGACTATTTTTTTCCATTTTGCAGAATGATAGAAGTGCCTTGGGGATAATTTTTTAAAAAGTCAAAGGCCTCATTCCTTCAAACGCTTGCAAGCATGCATCTGCACTGGTGGACACCCTTCCACCCCCATTTACTACTGTGACTAGTCACGGCAGTAAAGTTATACAAATACATGTTTGCAGGATCAGGACCTAAGAAACTATTATAAACAATGATGAGGATAAGGAAAAATAGAAAGTGACTATGTTTTTTTCTATAACAAATTATTTAGGATATTATTATCATTGTGTACAGTATATTTGAACACAGATGACCTTCTTGGAGAGAGAAGAATTGTTTGTTTTCATTTATCTTGAAAAGCAGAGCAGCTGTCAGGAAAGCAAGGTCATTGGGGCTGCTGGTTTTCACAGAAAATAACTGCATGGAAAAATTACCTGCACAAAGCATTTTCAGCTTGAAAACCATTTACAAAAATAGAGAGAGAGAGATGCAGGGAAAGTTTCTGTGAAGAATGTGTTAAACTCAACAGAAGATAACACATACAGTAAAGGTTTAAAAGGGGGGGGGAAACCTGGGTGTCTCTCCCAAAGAACCTTCAACCGAGACATGAACAACCACAGGACTGGGGGTCAGGGAGAGGCTCTGTAAATCAGGCAGGGCTCCCTGCTGACTTGTACAAAAGAGGCTGAATCATGCTGGAGTTTAGCCCATTTTCAGTTGGGTGGCTGTTTTTTGTTTTTGGTGGAGAGAAGGTGAGGCAATTCCTTTTTCCATTAAGTTTCCTAGGGAATGGATATTTTTAAAATGCATCATGTTCGCTCCAAAGAAAAATTTTATATTACCAGATGGTATATTTACTAAATGCACTAATTTTCTCTGTCAAAAGAAAAAGACATGATAAAAAAATAATAAAAAACAACAACAACTGAGTAACTTTATTACCTGGGCAACACCCTTACCAGTGCACACAGGACTGAACAAATGAGTAGCTGAGTAACCTAGGATGCTTCAAAATCAGACTTGCTTTTATGTTGTCCACAATCAAGCACTGTAGGAAGAAAGCTGGTAAAATATTGCTCAATCTGAAAATCTGTTTATCTGATATATTTATGGGAAATCTGAAGAGGAGTGCATGACATTAAATAACAAGTTTCAGTTACATTTCATTCATTCTTTCTGTTTTTTATAAACCACATCATGACCATGCGAAAGATGGCTTGCACAAGCAATAGGTCCTTGATGTTGAGTGCCTGTTTTTGTTCAAAATAAGTGGGATGTCTGCATATGCTATAAATTGATTTGTTAATTTTAATAGTTGTCAGTAAATTGGGTTTATTTTTTATAATTAATCACTGGATTTAGTGCTAATGAAATTTCCCTTGCTAATTTGTTGCTTCCACATCTTTCCATATTGTGAAATGGGGATGATAATCCTTTCTTTTCCCCCATCCTTTGGATATGTCTATGCTCAAGCACTACAGTGGCACAGCTGCAGTGTTGGAGTGTAGACACTACAGTGATAGAAAGGGTTTTTCTGTCACTGTAATAAATCCCACACCCTAGAGAGGTGGAAGTTGGAAGAATTCTTCCATCAACCTAGCTGTATCTACAGTAGGGGTTAGGTTGACCTAACTACATTGCATAGGGCGTGAAATTTTTCACAGCTCTGAGTGAAGTAACCTAGATCGACCTACATTTTAGATGTAGATCAGGCCTTTGTCATGTTAGATTGTAAATGCTCTGGAGCACAGTCTGTGCTTCTTATTTTTAGCACCTAGAACAGGACTTTGATTTTGGTTGAGGCCATTAGGCGCTATTTAATACAAATAAGTATTAACAGGTAAGAACTTACCTTTTCCCCACCTCAGGAGCAGCAATCAACACAGTGTGTGTGTGAGGAAAAGTGATGGTATGTTCCAACACTTTCACAACTTTTTTTTTACCTTTTCTTTCCATCTGGCAGCAGTAAAGCCTTAGCCTAAGACATGCACTTATGGTATCAATTTGCCTGACGCTACGTGGAATCAGCAGCCTGCAGGATTTGCCTCCAAATCTAGGCTAGACTATTATTTTTATATATCTATATTTATATATCTTCTGTCATTACAGATCCACCAGTGGTAGCAATGATGGGATGGCTACTGTAGACAGAGTTCAGGTGTTTCTACCACTGTGTCACTGGCACTCTTTTACCGAGGTGCTTCCATTTTGCTACCACCAGTGAAGCTATGCTGGTGGAAGTGCAACAGTGAGAACTTTTAAAGAAAAATTTCTAGTGTGGGCCCAGCAAGAGAAGGAAACATGTCATACTAAAGGTTCTGTCTACATGGCGATCAGAAACATGTAAGTTACAACAACCTTTCAAACACAGTTGTAACCAGTGCAGCTCTGATCCCAGGGTGGATGGAGCATTTCATTCAGTGCTGCAAAAGGGGATTTCAGTGAGCTCTGAGCCTTTACTGAAGGATGTGGCAGTGGTTAAGAGATGGGATTATTACAAATAAGAACAATGAAAGTGAATTGCTGCTAGAATTCCAGATGAACAGACCTTATCCACATTTAAGCAGAAAATTATCATTGTGTCTACGGAAGCATGCTGCTGTACAGCAAAACAAGCTAGAGAAAGGAAACCAAATAACTAAGGTGCACCATAAACAGGTTAGTAAGGGCGAAGAGGAGTGATTATTATTTGAATTACAGTAAGCACTAGAGGACCTGATTAGAGTCCCCTTTGTGCTGCATAGGGGCAAAGTAAAAATACAGTGCCTGTCCTAGAAAGCTTACAGTGGGACTTCATTTGGGCACAAGCAGCTATCTGCATGAATCATTCTGAAGGAGTGGGGCCTAAATACACACAGCATGACTGAAAGACAGCTACCTCTGGAGTGGAAGGCATCAACTAATCCAGGGGTTCTCAAATTTCATTGCACCGTGACCCCCTTTTGACAAAAATAAATAAATAAATAAATTACTAAACAACCCCAGGAGGGGGGACCGAGCCTCAGCCCGTCCAGCCCCGCTGCCCCAGGCAGGGGGCCTAAGTCAGAGCCCGATCCCTATTGTTCCAAGCGGGGGTACCAAAGGCAAAGCCCAAGGGTTTCAGCCTCAGATGCGGGACCTGTAATCTGAGCCCCATCACCCAGGGCTGAAGCCCTTGGCCTTTGGCCCTGCGTGGTGGGGCTCGGGATTCAGCTTCAGCCCCAGGCCCCAGCAAGTCTAACACCAGCCCTGGGGCCCCCCTTAAAACGGGGTTGCAACCCACTTTCGGGTCCTGACCCACAGTTTGAGAACCACTGAACTAATTAATGCAACCCATGATTGGTATGTGTGCGGGGTAACAAAAGGGGAGATTTTGGGGTCAAGGAAGCTGGTGCAACCCTGACTCTTATGAAGAGAATCCTAATCTCTGGACTAAGCAGATAGTTCTCTAGCTCTTTAATAAAATATTATTGTGCTCTCATAGACACTTAGAATAATTTTCTCCCCAAAACACCAACTCCAGTTAAAATAAAGTTGATTTTATTATATAATTTTTAAAAAGTAAAATAATGCGATGTATTTGTAAACGTTAATTAACTGCATTTAAAAAAAAACAAATGACAAAATGTGCTAAATATTTAAGTAGTTACAATGCACTTTTATAACAGGCACATGGACCTTTTAGCTTCCTGTCCACACTGGTTGCCCAGTGAGTGAGGCCTTTTTGGGCTTCCTTGCCCACATTCACTATGGCTGCTTAGCGTGGCCTTTGGACGGTTTCCCCATATCTAAGATGGCTACCCGCTGCATGCGTACCCATATTTAATATGACAAACCAACAGGCGCGTTGGAGATCTTGCCCATATTCAAGATGGCTGCCCAGTGGGGTTATTCCGTTCTTTGCCCCTATTCAAGATGGCTACCCAGTGTGGCCATTGGGCTTCCTACCCGCTCTCAAAATGGCTTCCCTTCACAATGCCGGACGTTCATCCAATCTCGCTGCGCACCCACTCTTCAGCCCGCCCCTTGCCTCCCTTGCAGCCAATAGACTTCGCAGCAGCCGCCCCAGGCCCCGCCCCGGGAGGCGAGTGATCCCCGCCTGTGTCGTCAGGCCGACAACGGCGGCAGCCAATGGGGTGTTGGCGGGGGTGAGGCGGGCCGGACGGCGCCGCCATTTTGTGAGTCTATAACACGGAGCCGTTGGGTTCGTTCCTGCTATTCCGGCGCCTCCACTCCGTTCCCTGCGGGTCTCCTCTCTGTGCAATGGACGGGTGAGTCCCCGCTGGGCCGGGCCCTGCTACGGGCGGAGACAGGAGGGGAGTTGTTTGAGCCCTCACTGGGCCGTGGGGAACTCGGCACCTCCTAAGGGGGCTCGGGCGTTACCTGCGGGGGCGGCGGCGGCGAGCGTGTGGGGGAGGGTTACCTGAGAGGGGTCCGTTGAGGCGGCGGGTGCCCGACTGGATCCCCTCCGTCGCCGCCAACTTCCGCCCCGGGCCCCTGTGTCGCCGTGTGGGGGCCGCAGTAAGGGGGAGGGGCGGCCCCCCGATGCCTCCGCTCCGAAAGTGAGGCGAGGCCCGGCGAGCGCGCGGTGCCTCGTGCGGCCACCCCGGCGTTCGGAGCCGCGCGCGCGCTCGGAACTTCCCTCCCCCTCCCGGGTGCCTCCAGCCGCCTCGCGCTCAGCTGCCCGGGCGGGATCGCCCCCCTCCCCCCCCCAGTGCGTTGGGAGACCGAGGCGCATGATACTGGCTTCCTCGTCGGCGCGTGGCTGGGCCCTGCCCTGGTCCGTGCACCTGGGCGTGGGGGGGCGCGCGCTCACCCCTTGTGGCGCCCCCTTTCCGTGCACCTAGGGAAAGGGGATGGCTCTTTCCCCCAAAAGAATCCAGACTCCCCCGTGCGGTCGCGGAGTGGGAGGAGGTTTGCCAGGTTTCCTGTAAATTGCCTGGGTGTGGGCCGTAGCGTCGGCTTGGGGAGGTGCCTGGGAAGCGCTGCAACAGGCACCCACTCACCTTAGGAGTAGCAATCACTCCCGGTTGTACCGGGCGGGGACTCTTGCAGGCGGCAAGATTGTGGCTTTGGGCGCACCCAGAGGTGCCATCAGTAATGGGTTACACTGCCATTGCCCTGGCCTTTCCACAAACGCTTTTTGAAGTGTAATTTGGCTTATGCACGCTCACGCTACGCTTTGAGGCGCTTTAATGCCTTCAGGCATAGTTAGGGAATTTATTGGGAGAATGGCTTCCCTTGCCGTGTTACCTGGGCATCTCAGGTTAAGCTGTAACCACACAACAAGCCTTGTGGTAGTGTTTCCTTGCCCTTCTGTAGTTTAACTAGCAACCTTTTTCCAGATAAAATTTGCCTTGCTAATGATGTGGCTCCCGTAGTTTTGCAGGGAGCAACTTTTGTATGCCAAGTAATGTTGCTTCTCTCTCTAGTGACCACCCCATCTATTTTAGAGGCATTTCCAAATGTGGTGCTTAATGAAGACATCACTTAACAGAAATGAGGCCTCTTCCTACTTACCCTGTCTGGAAGGGTAACTACTGCAGTGTGCTGACTTTTAAAGAGAACAAGGTTGTTAGTCAACCCAAAATATTTGGCACTTCCAAAGAGACAGTAGTTAAGTATCCCAAAACCTTAAATTAGAGAGCCTAGATTAATGACTGGCTTCATAAAAAGTTTCATTCACAACTCTAGATCTGAAAGGGATCAGAGTCTGGTTCCTTATGTAAAGACTACCTTAGTTTGCTCAGGAATTTCAGTTCAGCTTGTTACACTTTTAACAGATAACTGCTCAACATGTTAAGTTGGTATAAAACAGTTATAGAAAAACCTTAATAATTTACAGCTGTAACTAATTTGAAAAACTCTATTGTTTTTGTGGTGAGTATTCTTTCTACTACTCAGGGTAGATTGTAGGAAAGCTGGCTTAGTTATGTAAATTAAAATACTTATTTAGACAGTTGTAGCTTTTCATCCTGTGCAGCAGAAGTGGCAATATGGGCTGAAGCCTAAAATTTTAATTATTCCATGTCAGTTAAAGATCCCAGGACGTGGTTCACTTTTTCCTTTCAGAGCCTAGCTGCTGTTTGCTGGGCTCGTGATGAGATGTGGGGAGTTTCTTTCTTCTGGAAATTGTTCCACTTCTGCATAGCTAACTGTCCATGACCTTTCATCAGTATTTCTCATGCTTACAATCCTGCTTAGTTGCATTTTTTGTTCTTAAGTTGTTTTTGGTATAAATTGTCTTGTTAAATATGCAAGGGAGCTTGATATGGCAAAGATTGCATATTAGAAAATGGCCCGAAAGAATGTCATCCCAGATCACTACTTTCAGTTTTCTGTCCATCATTCCAAAGGGAGTGTTGTTCTTTCTATGTGAAATTAAATTTTGCTAGAATTGGTGGCCCGTACTGTTAAACTAGGAGAAAACTCGGTAACTTAGACTTGGTTGCCAGGACCAGTGAAACTTGCTTGAGAAACAGCTGTTTAAAAGTGTATTCAAACTGAAAATTGAGGGCATACTTAAAAAAAAAAAATGGACTAAAAGCTGTTGTGTTGTGTGCTATTCGTGTGGCCTTAGTTATCAGATAGATTTACAAAAATATTCCGGAACCAAACAGTTTTTGGCAAATAAAAAAGCTGCTCTTGCTGGATAATTTTAAATACCATTCCCTGTAAAGGCTACTTTATGTAAAACATTTCCTGTGTGTGAGGCCCTCAAGAGGAACAGGAAGCAAAAGAAATTGCTCAAGGATAACTTTGAGAGGCTTGGAAACTTTAGATGCTCCTCATTATTTTTCTGCCTCTCTGGGAGGTTTTTCTTTGATTCAGGTGTGCAAGAAGCAGTCTGGCAGAAAAGGTATTTTTTTAAACTGAAGAAACACCAGTATCTTAAATAATTTTGGAGTGGTTACGTGCAGCAGCATTCAGTTGGATTTTCCACTGATGTACAGATGGGTTTAATTACTCCACTAAAGCTCTCCCCCTCAAGATAAAACAAAACCCATCTGTCTTCATTGGTGACTCTGAACACCAGTGGGATTGTAAAATCCTGCAGTCTCATTCAGAGCTTTTTTTAATAGCAGTCTGAGCTAGAGAAACCATAGTGTAGTTTCCTGGCATCAGCCATTGGAGTAGATTGTGACTCCAGCTGTAAAATTGCTGGGTTATGATGACATGGCAGGCTGGTTCTGAGGCAGAAGTATGAGAAGTTGAGCTGGCTTATGCTAGTACCAGGGATTGTTTAAATTGGTGAAACCTGAATGATTTTGTAATAAGCGTGAACAGTGTTTAATTACCTGAAAAATTACTAAAATGCAGGGGAAAGTGTAGCAAATGTAGGTTGTGGTAGAATTAAATCCCTTTGAATTCTAAAATTTTTCTTGATTCAAGTATGGTTACTTTTTTCATATTGCTGTGCAGGACTTAGTAGAACCCAACTTTTAGCTGTTTTCTGTGATTCAGTAGTGGGTCACTGCAGACCTGTTGGCTTGTGACTGACAGCAGGATCCTCTCTCATTCCAAGTATTTGTACAAGGTACCCTGTACTGGGGAAGGCTGACATAAGAATTCAAGGTCCGTGGCATAGTGTGTACCCTGAAGGGCTACAGGGTCAATGGGTATGTGCTGCCCAACTTTACATCACTACTTTACCATATTTTGGACTTCCTACAGCCCAGTACTTTAGTTATGCTCAAGCAGTGGTTCTCAAACTGTCGGGATCCTGAAGTGGGTCGCAACCCCATTTTAATGGGGTCGCCACGGCTGGTGTTAGATTTGCTTGAGCCCGGGGCCAAAGCCCTAGGGCTTCAGCCCTGGGTGGCGGGGCTCAGGTTACAGGCCCCCCTGCGCAGGGCTCGGGCTTTATCTTTGGTCCCCCTTCTTGGGGTCGTGTAGTGTCAGAAGGGGGTCGCGGTGCAATGAAGTTTGAAAACCCCTGTGCTAGAGAACCTCAAACATACTGAAAGAATTCTCCCTCCATCGTGAATCGTTTTACAAAAAAGGTGTAAATGTTGGTAATAGGAGTATCTCATTACCTTGAACTGCATTCTCCGTTTGGCAGACTAGTGACTCTCAATAACAGGAGTTGCTATACAAGATCTGATCAGTGGTCCATATAGTCCAGTATCCTGTCTCTGATAGTGGCTAGTGCAATATGCTTTGGAGGAAGGTGTAAAAACCCTGCGGTAGGCAGATGTAGAATAATCTATACCCACCACTAGGTGTCATCCAGGTCTCTAATGGTAGTCTCCAAAGGGATACAAAACCTGTGGCTGGCCAGGGTCAGCTGACTCAGGCTTTCAGGGGTCAGGCTCTGGGGCTGAAAAATTGCTGTGTAGATGTTTGGGCTGGGGCTGAAGTCCAAGCTCTGGGACCCAGCCTGGGTCCGAACATCTACATAGTGATTTTTAGCCCCGCCATCCTGAGTCAGGTGATCTGGGCCAGCTGCAGCCGTGCCAGGGGTCTTTCATCCCTGTGTAGACGTACCCCAACAGATTAAACCTCATGCATCAGGGCATACGTCAGTTTTCTTTACAAAATTTGTTAAGCTGTGTCTACACTGCCACTTTCAGTGCTAAAACTTGAGTTGTTCAGGGGTGTGAAAAAACACCCCACAGAGCGACAAAAGTTTTAGGCTGAAAAGTGCCAGTATAGACAGCGCTTTACTACCAGGAGCGACCACCCCTCATTCGAGGTGGGTTTTTTTATTGCCAGGAGCGCTCTCCCCCAGTGATAAAGCATGTCTACACTGCCCACGTCACAGCGCTGCCATGCTGTAACGTGGGCAGTGTAGACATACCTTTAACTAGAATCACACTCAAATCCATATAATACTGAGAAATCACCTTTGTTGTTGTGTTTTGTTTGCTGGGTGGAAGTTATTCATTGTAGGAAGTGTATCCTCTTTTGGGTGTTTGGGGGGGTTAACAAGGTTTTGTTTTCACTAAGCACTTTTAGCAGTCGTCCTGCTAGTAGTCTAATAATTGCTGTCACCAGTGGAGCTGCACTGTAGTGGAAGGGCTGCTGTACATCAGGCACAGGCTGTTTTATTCAGGTTTAGATGAGGCAGTGGTAAGCCTGTCTAGTCTATGCAAGCAGTTCCACTGTTGCTTGCACCATTGGTATTTCATCATTCTTGGGTGAATTCTGGATGCATTACTAACCCATCTTTGTAGAGGTAGCCACCCCGAGGGTCAGCTCCCTTGAATTCTTCTGCGGAATATTTGTGCCAGCTTGATAGTCTAAGTATAAAGTTTTGTTTTAAGAATGCTCTAGATATGGATTGTATGGCCTATACAGGTGAATACTAGTGACTGTAGGAGAGTAATTTTGACACTTCACTCTTGCTGTGACTTGGCCCTTGGTGGTACACTGTTTGTCTTACATTCCTGTGAAGAATACTGGCTTTGGTACCTGCATACTCCTTTCTATGGTTCACTGGCAAAAAGGGGAAAGTTCCACTGTTAGAAGTGGAAGAGGTGCACATTCCTAACACTTTGGGGCATTGGGTCTTCACCGCAACCCTTTTTTTTTTTTTTTCTTGTATGAACTCTTTGGCTCACTTGTGAAGATGGGTGCACTTTGACTAGCTTTTTTCTTACTGCTGGATATTTGTGGCAAACCTATGTAACTTAATACTCTTCTTTCTTTTTTCTACAGCATTGTCCAAGATATAACAGTTGGTACAAAGGTAGGCACTTCTCACTTTTTCTCTTTTTGCACTTGCTCAGCATTTGACCTAGTTTAGTGTTAGTTATAAACTTACAAAAATTAACACTTCAATTTTAAAGGGACTGTTTCTTATACTACATCTCAGTTGTTTTTTAACCAGAAGGCATATTTAATTTTCATATGTATGGCCTTGTTTTTACTCTGCTGTTGGAGGGCAGAAAGACTGTTGTAATTGTCAGATGAGATGTTCGAAAACAAAACACAAATGATGTTGGTGTTCAGACAAACTTGTGTTGTATCCATATAATGGACAATATATCTTGAAAGAGAAATTGCCAGTTCATTGGATTGAGACTGCTCAACTTACTTCATGTTTTTGTGGATCTCCTGTTCATTTGGATGTTGTGATAATCCTTTTAATGCTAAAATAAAAAGCATTTTACACATTGATTCTTATCTCTTGGGAGTACAGTAAATAGGACCTTTACCCTGCTAGTGTCTGGTTTTGAAAGTGCAGCCCTAACCCTGAGACTCAAGTGCTGACAGGAGCCTCCTTATCAATGGAGTATGATAATAGGCTGCTGTTCATAGGCGGAAACTTCATTCCTGAGAACTGCTAAACTGGAATGTTCAGGATAGACTAGCACTCCTCAGCTTAGTTCATTGTCAGAATCATAATTGTTAGTTTAAAGAGTTAAATTGGAAAGATTCATCAGATGTGACAAATGTGAAAAGTCGAACTGTCGGTGAAATGATGCAATTTGGGACAGGACTAAGAATTTAAACTGAGCTAAAGATTCATGGTGAGACAGGTAGTTTGTTACTTCATTAATCTATTTTATATATTGTCTTAAGCACAGGGCCATTTTTGCTACATAAAATCTAAAAGCACTACAGGGAAGCTATTAAAGCGTAGTGTCTTTCATATTGAAAGAACAGAACCAAATACTAGTAATACCATAACTGTGGGCAAGTCTGTTAAAGTTCTGTGGTTCCAGTGAGCAGCAGACAGATGGAGAAGAGATCGGTTTAACATCTATAGCGGGGAGGTTACTACTTGTGCTACAATATTTAAAACTTTATTAAAAAGTATGAAAATGGCTTAGTGTGTAGTTTCTGCTGTGACTGAATTTATCCTGGCTTTCAGCCTATCTGCTACAGGGAGGAGTTCACATTTTGAATAGGTTGCCATGCTGCTTTATGGGGAAGGGAGAAAAAACTGAGTTTTGACATTAATGAGAGAGATTTATTATTAGATGAATATAATCATATAGGTTAGACTTCCTGGAATGAGTCAATCACCTTACCCCTGGAGGATCTTTCCATGTAGTAGAACTTTTAATGACTTCACTGTAATTCTACTGTAGTGCTAAAATGTACTTAAGGTGCTGTAGCCATAGGAAGATTTCTAGTTATGCAAAGGAAAGCTTTTGCCCAGAAGGGTTGTGAAAGGTTAATTTTTGATATTCAAGCTCCAGTGATGGCAAGAACTTCAGGATGTTATTACATTTTGGGCATGCAGTTCTTGTATGTTGCATGATTTTAATCCCTTAAGGAGGGTATGGTTTGTCATCTAAATGGGGATTGGAAGAAATCACATATCAGCACTTCCATTTCTAGCACAAGACAAGATTCACTTGGGAATGAAAGAAGCTACACAACTAGTGTCCGTTCCTGAAAACTGTTCTGAGAGAGTGTTTGCTGGCTGTGCCCCTAAATTGTTGGCATGGGTATTAGAGTTAGATACAAATATATTTCTTTTAAATCAGAAGTGTTAAATGATCTCCCTCCCCTATCATCCCAAATTATATTCAGGATATGCATGAGCAGAGATGGAAGAAACCATATTCCTTTCAGTTCATTATAAGCTTGAAAGATCATCAATTTTTAGTGACTTTTTTCCAGACTGTCTTGGTCCTTTTGTTAAGCAGCACTGTAGAGAGAGAATGGTAAACATCTCTTGAACTATACTGTTAGTCAATATACTGGAAAAAAGTGAAGACAAACCCAGCAGACTAATGTGGAAAGGTGAAAGGAGGGAAAAGCAATAGGGGAATGAAAAGTTACAAGTTATTTTCCTGAAGTCTCCTTTTATGTTGTCAGTCCTAATGTTTTAGAAGCTTACAGGCAGGTCTTGTGTGGTGTTCACACTCACGTTCTTTAAATCAGGCACTTAGATTAGACCAGTGTGCTGTACTTCATCCAGCCCAGCAGGCACACAGTAATTGAGTAAGCATCTCCACCCTTAATTAATCTGTTTTAGATACTTGGGTGGGCTCTTTTTTATTATTCTGAAGTCTTTGAAATATTGTACTTCAGTAATTTTGCTGTTGAGAACACAAAGCAGTATTTCAGTCTCGAGAATAATAGTCCTGTAATCTAATTTTATTGTGCTTTAGTGCATTGCTGGATAATCTTAAGTATTTTCTGGATCATAGTGCAAGTTAGCCAGTCCAGAGGTTTAAAATATGCATATCACGTGTCCTAATTGTGGGTTTCTTCACATCTTAATATGCAGATACAGCTAGTTTAGGAAATGTATTACTGTTCTGTTGCTCACAAAGCCCCACAATTATTGGAGACCCTGATGGAAAGAGTGCAGCAGCCATAAACATGTGATCTGCTTAAGACTTCCTCTTTCAGCTAACTGACTCACTATCTGAAAAGAAAGGAAGGGGATAGCATTGTGGTTGAGACATTAGATTTGGACTTCAAGCTGGATTATTTTTCTGGCCATGTCGAAGATTCCGTTTGATGTTGGGTGAATTACTTAATCTCTTCATGCTTCAGTTCTCCATCTGTAAAATGGGGGTAATATAGCCTCTCTGTTTTGTCTGTTTAGATTGTAAGCACTTCAATTCAGAGATTGTTTCATTAAGTGTGTGCAGTGGGACTTTGATCTTAGTTGGCATTCCTAGATCTTCTAGTAATACAAATAATTAATTATGGTGATTTACTATTTTGTGCCAATGCACCATTCTTTGGGAAGAGAACAAATGGTATTGTATTTCATAACAATGAATTGCTGTAAAAATAGCTACCTATTGGATAATCCTAAACATAAAGCTACATAGTACCAGACCCTGAGCTGTGTCTGCACTACCATTTATGTTGCTCAGGAGTGTGAAAAACACCCCTCTGAGCAGCGTAAGTTTCGCTGGTGTAAGTGCTTATGTGCACAGTGCTATGTCAGCAGGAGAGCTTCTCCCACCAACATACTACTGCCAGTCGTTGGGGTGGTTTTATTATGTCGACGGGTCCCGTCGGCATAAAGTGACTACGCGAGTGATCTTACAGTGGCGCAGCTGCATCGATACAGCTGTGTCACTGTAAGTCCGCTAGTGTAGACACATGGCCTTAGAAATATACAGTTTGAAACCAGAGAAATAGCATCTGCAAAGTTAACTCTTAAAATATTGTAGAACAAGTTTTGTTAGAGTATGATACAGGCTGACTGCATAGAAGTGGTTTTGTGGTCAAGCCAGGCTCTTTGCCATGGGAACAAGTAATTATGGCTTCAGGCAGTAGGCCAAGAATGTGGTGAGGAAATTCCAGTCCCCTCTTATGGCTCTAGTTCAAAGGCTGCAACAAGCTGGCTCTTGTGGACAGGCGTGATCACACATGTAAGCCACATGTGTTTAATATGGACACAAGAAAAGCAGTATCCCAGTGGCATGGTGATCAGAAATTGAGGCAAATAGCTGCATGTAACAGGAATGGTAACATGTTTTGTGGAAGGAACATAAGGAATCTAATGTCATCTGATAGATTTTTATGTACAGCTACTTCAATTTATGGATAGATTATTCATCTTTATGAGCAAATGGAAAACTCTCTCTAATGGAGTATAGGAACTCAAATGTTGCTTTATCTGCAACAATGAATTGTACATATTACTTCAACCTGCATTATGGGTTGTAAGCAAGAGATTCCAGGTAGCACATATTCATCTGCCAATAAATCATTGTTGAGAAGTGCCTTGAATCACATCTAACCCTTAGTTTACTCTAAATTACTCATTCATTCTTATGTAGAAATTAATTAGAATGACTTGATTCATAGCTTGCTTAAGCTCCTGCTCTGGCTACTACTATAACTTTATTTTTCCATAAGGGGATTCTTAAGAAAACCCCATGTGATGAAATGGTTCAATGAAAACATTTCTCTCCAGATCTGAAACTCGAATTTTATTTTGTAGACTAGCTATTATAGTTAAAAATACTTGAGACAATATTTCACCGGCATTGAGTAATCCTCCGCACTTCTGTGATTTATCATCTCCATTAATAGGTAAGGAAACTGAAGAGGAGATATTCAGTGACGCATCAAAGGCTACAGAAGGAGTCCGAGTCTGTGGTGGAATTAGAATTAATGAGTTTTCCTGGCTCCTAGTCCTGTGATCAGTGTACTTAGACCAGAATAAAGGGGCTCTATCTAATACCTAAAATCCAAAGTGATCAGTTTCTTTTCCAGCTTCATAATCACAATCTGATTGGAAGTTGGTCTTCATCTCTAACATAACAGTGTTTTGTTTATAGAAATTCTGACCTAAAGGTTGCTAGTATTTACCAAAGCAGGTTTTTGACACACCTTCTCACTATTGTGTAATTGCACTTTTTAGGTTAGTCTTTGATCTAAACTGTGTATGCATTCCTTAAACTGTATGTACAGGGTGAAATTTTATAGAGTAATTCATGTAGTCACAAGATGTTAAAGCTCTCCTAAGTGATCCCTTATTTTGCTAAGCGAGGTGAGTCATTCAGTTTACAATTATTTTCTGGCACGTAGAAAAGCACTAATTGTACTAAGCGTTTCCTATTAATGCTATATAAAATATAACCTTTTGGTTTTAAGCACTCTCAAATAATCTTTAAACATCTTGTTGGTCACAAAGAGGTTAAGTTAGGTAGGAAGCCTGGAACATGAGTGATATAAATGCTGAAGGCTATTAGCTGGGGTGTGTATTACCCTATAGAGCAAGAAATGACTACCTTACATCACTACTTTTAGCACAGGAAT